AGCACTTTTTGGTTTATCTTTGGCTTATTCAAGTTGTTAGCATTATTTCTCTTGCTTTTTGTAGCCATTTTAAAGTAAAACACAGATTATTAGAACACAAGCACTATGATACCATGACAGTAGATCTGATAGCCAAGATAGCTACTAAGTGACATATAAAGTGAGGATATGAATCAGGAGGGATGGAGCAGGATAGCAGGAGATTTCATCATGCTACTCAGAATGGTGCACAATTTAAAACTTATGAATTATTCTATTTTTAAATATGTGTTTTTTTAGTTATTGATGGACCTTTATTTTATTCATTTATTTTTATGTGATGGTGAGAATTGAACGCAGTGACTCATACATGCAAGACGAGCCTCTACCACAGGGCTACAATCTCAGCCCCAAACTTATGAATTATTTATCTCCAAAATTTTTCATGTAATATTTTCAGACCACAGATGAATAGGTAACTGAATGAACAGAAAGCAAAACCACAAGGAAGGACTACTATACTGTCAAATTTATATTGTAGGCCAGCTTCCTCATGTTAAAAATTCTTCAAAGACCTCCAATTACATATTGATTTGGAATAAAAAACTTATCCTAAAATTCAGCACTATTTATTCTACTGTCCAGTTCCATACTTATTCTCAAATTCAAGATATTTCTCCTTGTCCTGAAAATACTTAGTTTTTATGTTATATTGCTTTTGTTCACATATCAACTGAAATGTTCTTTCCAGTGTTTCCCTCATTTAGAGCTTTCTGAACTCTTGTCATTTCTTCAAACCTATTCAAATGTCCCATCCTGTAGTGATGTTTCCATTCATTGAACTGTTGAAATTCTTATTTTTAATACAGATTAATTTAGGACATGCATTTTATTGATTTGTCACATTGTGTATGCAAGTTATTTCTATACCTTTTACCTAGGGTAAAACTGTCTTATACCACTCAGTGTTTGTCACTGAATACCTCACATATACTATCTATGTTTAACATAATTTTAAATGGTGATGTGGACAGTTTTAATTTATAAAGTTTGATTTGTTTTAGAAAAACTTTATACTGCTAGACATGTGTGCATTCATATGTAAATATGCATACATATGTAAATATACATTTATTATATATACTATTCTTTAGGTATTCATATTTATATCTAAATGTAAAGTTAATGGATTCTTTTTTAAAAGACTAAATAATTAAGAAATTTAAGGTGGACATGGTGGCACATGCCTATTATCCCAGCATCTCAGGAGGCTGAGACAGAAGGATCATGAGTTCAAAGCCATCCTCAGCAATTTAGCAAGGCCTTAAGCAACTCAGTGAGAGCCTATCCAAATAAAAAAAAAGGGCTGGGAATGTGGCTCAGTGGTTGAGTGCCCCTGGATTCACTCCCCAGTACCAAAAAAAAAGTTAGGATTTATAACATGAATATTATTTACCAGTTTATCATTTTCCAAAGAAACATGAAGCCTAATGTCTACTTTCATAATAGGAATTTTGTTTATCCTACTGTAAGTTTCCTATAGAACTATTTTTTAAGTAAAAGCTATTTGGATCAATAGTTTCTTTTCAGCTGATGTGAACTTATCTAAGGAGCCAGCCAAATATAAGACTGACACCATTAAGATTTATCTCACAGTTATTTTATGGAAATGTCTTAGAATCCTCCCCACATGGAAAAAAAGAACTACACTGTGACTGAAACGATTTAAATAGTTCTAAAATTTGAACAGAATAGAATTTGCATAATGGAATTAAAATTTATAAACAATGAAATTAAATAGTAATGAGTTTGAAGCTTAAGTTTATTTTGGAAATGCAAAAGAAAAAATAGACTCAAGCAAATAACAAACTATTCGCCTTTGAACAACTCAGCTATAGTTGCAAGCATGCCTTTCAAATGAGATTTTAACTGGCTTGAGACTCCTATGTTCATTTAGAATAGGGATTCCTAGACTGCAGTCCTTAGATGGACTTCACGTGTTTAATTTCCATTTTAAAAGTACATAGGGGGCTAGGGCTGTGGCTCAGGGGTAGAGTGCTCCCCTGGCATGTGTGAGGCACTGGGTTCAGTCCTCAGTACCACATAAAAATAAAATAAAGGTATTGTGTCCACCTACAATTAAAAAAATACATTTTAAAAAAGTACATAGGAAAGCTATGGGGGTAACTCGGTGTTAGATTGCTTGCCTAGAATGTGAGAGGTCCTGGGTTTGATCCCCAACACTGAAAAACAAAATCTTTTTAAGTGCTGCATTATTTTGATATATTGAATGTCTTTATTTTTTCTTCTTTTCTAACTATTTCCTTCTTTGGTTTAATACCTCTACATTCCTCACCTCTTCCTTATGTAACATGAGTTTTATACCCTTCAACCATCTGAGTACTAATTTTCTCTGTCCAGATAAATTCTACTTTGTCAGTATGCATCATAAAATGTAACTTTCAAAATTAGACACTTTTTTAATGAACCATGTAATCAGGTAAAATATACCAAGTTGCAACCTACCTTTTACCAGAAACTATTTGTATTAATAGACTAAATATGAGTGCTCATGATTTCTTTTGACTATGAGAGACCACGTAGACAAATCAGTGTGTTCACATGCATGTGGCACACACACATACATAGCTGTGAGTTCTAGTTGCTAGTGTACTATGTGGTCTGGAGATCTCTCTGTACCATTCTTCTAAAATTTTATTAAAAACTAAAAAAAAAAAAAAACTACTTATTGAACAAATACAGCATCCTTCAACGGATCTCATGTTCTGTTATATTTTTGTATTTCACTATTACATAGAAAGGAGTTCGGATGATTGCCAGCTTCCTTATTCAAGACAATTATAATCTAATCCCATGCCTTTTTTTGTTTGTCTTGACGTTCACTTTGATAGTTCTTCCTCTACAGGGAAATCTCAGGCTTGAAACTAAAGCCTCCTTTCCACATAAAACCAATAGAGTTGGCTTATTTCAGGCTATATGTTTCTAGTTTTCAGAACTGGGTTTAAAACTCTTTGTGTATGTGCTTACTCCTGTGTATGTGATTGATTTTGGAGAATTCTGGTTAGATTAGATATTTAATTCTCAAAACACATGTTCCATAAAAAGGAAATAGTCAACAGTATATTTTTATGATGATTACATAGGCAAACACTAAGGTTACCTTATAACTAAATAGCATCAAATGATATTAAAATGACATATAATAACATATAATTATATCCTACTTAATGGATTATATTTGTGTTTTTTTAATAGGTGAGAATTAATTTTATACCTCTTAAATAGCAATTTGGGTATGAATAAAGACTATTAAGTAATCCTTAATTGACATTTCTTCATCTTTAAATCACTTCAATTAAAATTGAACACAGAAATGATTTGAAAATACTGTTATTCTTTTACACTGAGAAATTTTGGAAACAAACCCCACTCAATTTTTGCTAAGCTGATTGATTAAACATACAGTCAACTCTCGGTTATTCAAATTAATGGAGGAAAGGATGGAACAAGCGTTAATAGTTCTCTCATCCCTGCCCCCTCAGACAATTGCTGACAGCTCATTTTAGACAAAATTTGACTTTCTGTCTTGATCATATGACATTTTCAAGCCCTTGAATCCAGGAGTCAGTGAAATATGACCTACAATTTAGTTAATAGGAAAGTTTCATGTTATTACACTATTATCTTCTTTTATGTAGATTCTTAAAATCAGGACCTTAGCATTGCCTTTGTACTATTAAAATTCACATGAAAAGTTGGTAACATTGCTATTAAGGTATTATTCTGAAGGATCATAAAATTAGTTTTATATAAAAAGTCATCCTGGAATTACAGTTTACAGATAATTATAACCTTTTAAAAGCATTGCCTCATGATATCAAATTGCTTTAAAAATTTTTTAATATAAAAATTTTATGAGAAAGCTTTTGTCTTTGAGTCTTTTATAGAATATATTCCAGCTTTTTAAATTCTAATGTGTGCAATATTTCTGAGTACTATGTGTTTGTAAAATGAAGAAATGCTGAAGGAATTTATGTGTGAAAATAGTATGTTGCGTGTATGTAATACGTCATCTTCTCTACCAATTAACTGCACACATTGTGCTAGTATCCAGACATAAGCATTCATAGAAATGCATGGCTCTGGATAAGTACAAGTTGAAATAAACACACCTGCAATTTATTTCAATACTGCACATTCAAATCCACCTAATTTATTTGAATGTGACTTCCATATATGTGAAAGAACAGTGGTTTTAGCATTTGATTTTTTGTGATGTTTTGTTGGTGATGATTAAATCTAAAGTAGATGCAAAGTTATGGGTAATGCTTCTCTGGAAAACTTTGCATGCAGAGAAAAGGAAATTCAAAGATAAATCCTATAAAAACTTTCAAATTGTTTTTGCCTCAATGTGCATTGTCGTTAGATTCTTATAACATATAGTAATGCTTAAAGCCAAACTAGTAAAACCCATTAACCAGCCTAGAGTATGGCCTACTTTACTTAAAGTTCAATAATTTAATTATTTTTCTTTCCAGACTAAAAATTGTTAAGTCCTTCATTTTGAGAATATTATTTTTTCTCAAGAAACTGTTTCCTTGAAAGTGGACTAAGATTTAAAAAATCATGGTTTCTATTAGGCAGGGGAAGTATTAGTTACAAGTCTTATTTTATAGTCTGTGTGATGGTTTCTTTCATATGCTGTCCCAAATTAGGCCATATTTCTGTATAGTTAGTTTTACCTGACATGAGCCAGAAAATTAAATTAATATTTCTTTAGGAATCTTAACTTTGAATTTCCTACTTTTCATTGCATGTAAACTATCAGTGACAAATAATAGTTTCAGTTCAGGTTCTAGCTTGTATTTTGCATGATAAAGCTATATAAAAAGCCTAGTAATGCTGGGAAAATTTATAGCTATGGTTCCGCTATTGCCTAATTGTCAAAATTTATAAATAAGGGGTGATTTTATTTATGTAGACTTGTCTTTCTGCCTTAGGGAGTGAACTACTTTATGTCCAAGGGTATCCTAGATGATTCGCCAAAGGAAATAGCAAAGTTTATCTTCTGTACAAGAACACTGAACTGGAAAAAGCTGAGAATCTATCTTGATGAAAGGTAAAAAAAAAAAAAAAAAGAAGAAGAAGAAATTTTAGTTTTCATAAGAAATGAGTTAAGTGAGGCTTTTGATGAAGTTTTACTGTAAAAACTATGCTAGATAGCAATCATCAATTACTGTATCTTAGATATCCTTTGTTTTGTGAGTTTTATCTTGCTAATGAAGAAATTGCCATTATAAAAGTAAAAATAAGTCCATGCACATAAACAAAATGATAGCCCAACATTTTTCTAATAACAAACCAAAATCAATATTTTTGTGGAAGCTGCAGCCCTTTTTCTTAATAACTAGCTATAATCTTAAGTGTTAAAATAACTGAAATTTTTGAATTCTGAAATTGTTCATGTAAAAATCTATTATGAAAATAAATTATCAAAACTTAGAGATATAAGGATATGTGTGTGCATAGCAGTACTACACAGAAGTACCATGTGCATGTTTGAAAATTCTGAAAATATGACATTTAGTAGTGTGTTCTACACACATTGAGATAACTAATATGTTGTTCTGATTTAATAGTCACTCATTTATACTCTATTATTCTACTAATTGATGGACATTAAAAAATTGAAGCCGGGTGTCGTGATGCACACCTGTAATCCCAGTGGCTCAGGAGGCTGAGGGAGGAGAATTGCATGTTTGAAGCCAGCTTTAGCAGTCTAGTGAGGCTGTACGCAACCTATTGAGACCCTGTCTCAAAATTTAAAAATAATAAGGGCTGGGGATGTGGCTCAGTGTTCCTGTGTCTCTAGGTTCAGTCCCTGATTACTAAAAAAAAAAAAAAAGATTATGGGAAAACATTTTGATGCCACACAAACTCTATTTTAAAAATTATAGATCTGATACTAAACTAACGTATGGCACACACAAAAAAATGCATGCCTTTCAATCTTTTTTTTCCTCAGGATTTTTCAGTACCAATTTATAAATGTTTACTTTGTTTTAGAAACTTTGCTAAAGAATAGGGTATATAGTCATTACAAGAAGTCTCTTATGCAAAAATATTCTCATTGACTCTTCTTATCTTTAAATGTCAGGCTCTTTGAATTGGCAGTTTTCAGTAAAGAAACAGATCTTTTCATAAATATTTTATGCTTTGCTGATCTTATTATCTCTGCCATAGCTACTTACAACTCTGTAATTGTGTTGTGAAAACAGACGTATAATCTATAAACAAAGTACTGTGGTTGTGTTTTAATACAGCTGTTTACAAAATCAGGCAGTGGGCCATATTTAGCTCAGTATCTATAGTTTGCCTGTCCCTGCCATAAGTAATTGGTAGAAGTTGAAGGTTATGATCACATAATTGTTGTTAAGTTCAATAATCATTGAAGGATATTGTAACAAAGTGAGACTAGACATTAGAATGCTATTGATTAAACATAACATACATATTCAAATATTTATATAATTGTAAATAACCTGAATGTTTACATCAATAGGATATATAAAATAGGATTGTAAGATGGATACATCAATAGGATTGTAATGGCTACTATGCTGCCATGAAAAACAGTGAGATGAATCTATATGTGGAGTTAAAGAAAGCTGTTAACAATAAACTGTGAAAAAAGCAAAAGCAAATTCTAAAGCAATATATAGTATATGTAGGCAATTTAAAATCTCTACATAGTTGTTGCCTCTGAAAGTATAGCTTGGTATGGTAGGTGAAGATTGTCTTTACTTTCATAATTTAAAAAATAAAGACTTAGTCAAGAAGACACTGCAAAACAATTTCTTTATTTTATAAGCAGAATTATTTCTGGTATTGTCTTTAGTTTTGTTATAACCTATTTATGAAAGAGTTCAAAATTGTTTAACTTCATTAGATAATCATACTTAATGTTTTAAAGTTTTAAGAATAATATATACTTTTGAGCCAGGTGTGGTGGAACACTACTGTAATCCCGGCAGCTCGGGCAGCTGAGAAAGGAGGATTGCAAGTTCAAAGCCAGCCTCAGAAACTTAGTGAGATCCTAAGCAATTTAGTGATTCTTGTCTCAAAATAAAAAAAAAGAACTGGGGATGGATCAGTGGTTAATCGCCTCTGGGTTCAAAAAAAGAAGAATATATACTCTTATAGGATTAACTGAGTAATAATTCATTATTTTATCCAAAAATTACAAATTACAATTTATAATTTTTATTATTAGCATTTTTTAATAAAGTTAACTAAAGCTGTACCTATTTTTTTTTCTATAGGAGAGATGTCTTGGATGACCTTGTAACATTGCATAATTTTAGAAATCAGTTCTTGCCAAATGCACTGAGAGAATTTTTTCGTCATATCCATGCCCCTGAAGAGCGTGGAGAATATCTTGAAACTCTTATAACAAAGTTCTCACATAGGTTCTGTGCTTGTAATCCTGATTTAATGCGGGAACTTGGCCTTAGTCCTGGTAAGAATATATATATATAGTACATTACTTCCTCCCTCCTCCCTGGCCACCTCCAGGTAAAAACAGTCCAATATGACACATTTTTCTCACTGTGGGGAAAAATGACTCCATTAATTAAAAATATTTATTTTGCTGTTTCAGCAGTAACTGCATCTAGGGAATATATCATTTATGTGAACATAGAGGACCACTTTACTTAGCCATAGACATCATTTATACATAGTAAATTTACTGACTTAGAACAAAAGTTAGATTTAGCTACAGATATTCTTTAAAATTATTCTTGTTTGAGTGTTTGATACTTTTACCAATGTAATTGAATACTTGAGAAATTATTTTAAAGCTTTTAATAATCCACACATTGCATAGGTAATATTTTTCTACTAAAATTTATGGGGTTTTTTGCTTTTAAAAAATTAATTTACTTATTGTAGTTATACATGACAGCAGAATGCATTTTGATTCATAGTACACAAATAGAGCACAGTTTTTCAGTTCTCTGGTTGTACACAAAGTGGAGTCACAGCATTCATGACTTCATACATGTACCTAGGATAATGATGTCCATCTCATTCCACCATATTTCCTACCTACCAAAAGCACTATACAGATATAATGTAATGTAATCCAATCAAAATCCTAATGACATTCCTCATAGAAATAGAAAAGCAATCATGAAATTCATCTGGAAAAATAAGAGTCCCAGAATAGCCAAAGCAATCCTTAGCAAGAAGAGTGAAGCAGGTGGCATCACTATACCAGACTTTAAACTATACTATAGAGCAACAGTAACAAAAACAGCATGTTATTGGCACCAAAATAGACATGTAGACCAATGGTATGGAATTGAGGACACAGAGGCAAACCCACATAAATACAATTATCTCATACTAGACAAAGCTGCCAAAAACATATATTGGAGAAAAGATAGCCTTTTCCAACAAATGGTGCTGGGAAAACTGGAAATCCATATGCAACAAAATGAAATTAAGCTCCTGTCTCTCACCATGCACAAAATTCAACTCAAAGTGGATCAAGGATCTAAGAATTAGACCAGAGACCCTGTGCCTAATAAAATTTGTTTTTAATACAACTAGTTTTTATTGTGTTTGTATGTACTGTATATGTATACATATATGTTTGCGTGTGATAGAACCTTAGTTTCCTGTGTGCTTTTCATTTGATATAGGTTTATCTTTTCATATAAAAAATTTTATATTGATTATCTCATTAAGCAGAGATTACAAAACATTTATGTATCATGAAATTTACTGAACATGCTTTACAAGACATGATCTTTCAGTTAGCTGTAGGATTCTGAAATATAAATACCACAAGAGTACCAAGTATCGTTTGTTACTATTGTAATATTAAACATCAAGTATTGACCTGAGCTTATATAAAGAAGAAAATTATTTTGTTGCATGGTGCTCTGGTATAGGAATCCTTTCTCTAAAGATTTACCTTTGAAATTAATAGGTAAATTCCATAGGATTTTGAAATACATCTCTCCAAGTAAGAATATTAATTTCATAATCCTATAAATTGTTAACATTTTATTTTTAATGCCAAGTAGTCATTAAAATGCTTTCATATTAAACTAGGTTTATGTAAAGCACTCTGTAAATAAATATGTTCCTTTTTTAATGAGCAGGAAAATATGCTCTTAGTGCAAATTTTTAATATGTATTTTGATTCATAGTACACAAATAGTTGGATATAAATAACATAATACACATATTCAAATAGTTATATAATTGTAAATAACCTGAATGTTTATATCAATAAGATATACACAATAGGATTGTGAGATGGGATATCAATAGGATTGTAATGGTTACTGTGGTGCCATGAAAAACAGTGAGAAGATTCTATATGTGAAATTAAAGAAAGCTGTTACAATATACTGTGTGAAAAAAAGCAAAAGCAAATTCTAAAGCAATACTTAGTATATATAGGCATTTTAAAATCTCTACATAGTTGTTGCCTCTGAAAGTGTAGCTTGGTATGGTAGGTGAAAGCATTTGAAAGCAAAAATGAAAATAAAGCTAATTCTGAAATTCTTAAGTCTAGAATGAGGACTGGGGTTGTGGCTCAGGGGTAGAGTGCTCACCTAGCATGCATGAGGCACTGGGTTTGATCCTGAGCACTACATAAAAGTAAAATAAAAATACTGGGTCCACCTAAAACTTAAAAGAAAAATCTATAATGAGTTTTTTACTATAAACTCCTAAACTATTCTAAAGTTCTTCTGAATTGAAAAAAAAAAAAATACTTGATGAGGGCTAAGATTATAGCTCAGTAGTATAGCACTTGCCTAGCATGTATGAGGCCCTGGGTTCAGTCAGTTGCAGGGTAGGGAGGAAGGGAGGAAATGCTTACTGAATTTACATTCAGACTGGAGGATAACTGTCCTGGTTTGCCCAGTCCTGAGGAATTTTCCAGGTCTTTTAGTGCTGAACTGGAAAAAGAGCAAAACTAGGCAAACTGGGAGGAGTTGGTCATCCTGTTTAGTTGTATACTAATCTTGAGCTCTTGAAATTATGAACATTTGCCCTTATGTAAAATGTAAAACCTTTGGGATAATATTTTTTATACTAGCAAATAATTCAAAGTGTTTCTTTTTCCTTACAGACGCTGTTTATGTACTGTGCTACTCTTTGATTCTACTTTCCATTGACCTCACTAGCCCTCATGTGAAGAATAAGATGTCAAAAAGAGAATTTATTAGAAATACTCGTCGTGCTGCTCAAAACATTAGTGAAGATTTTGTAGGGCACCTTTATGACAACATCTACCTTATTGGCCATGTGGCTGCATAAAAGCACAATTACTAGGACTTCAACTTTCTACTTCAGACTAAAAGCTACCCAAGGACTTATTTAGCAAATATGGGGGTTTCATCAGTGCTGGCCCTTCTAGCCTCTGTATACAATCAAGCTTGAGTATACAACCTCTTTTTCTTTCACTATTTTCTTTTTTAGTAATTTCCTTGGAGAACTAAGTAACTTTGGAGAATTTTTCTTAATTTTGCTTATCATGTTTTACACAAAGCACAGCCATTGTCTAACAGAACTATTGAAAGAATGTTAAACTGACACACATTATACTCTATAAGATGGTGTATTTGTGCAGTAGATTTGCCTGAAAAACTTTATCCATTTACATTCTTTTTTAAGATTCCATATAATGTGTACATATTTAACTAAAGAGATTTATAATCATAATTATTTTATTGTAAAGATTTTAACTAAAGTTTTTTTCCTTTTCTCTCAAACTGGGTTCTGAAATTTATTTGGTTCTTATCTGAGAATATTGTTGTCTTTGTAAAAGTAGGATCTGACGTCAAATGGAAACCAATACCAGCTATCCTTGTCTTTGGACTTCCAAGAGTGTTGGTTTGTTACTATATTACTATGCAAAACTCGTACTTACTTGTATAATATAAATTTATCATTTGATTCTTCATTTTTTAAACTTCTGAGTTAATCAGTTCTCAGTAAGTCCTTTAAACCACTTAAGATTTAAAAATGTGTCTGAATTTAACATCTACACTTATCAGAACAGAATAAATGTTATTAGAACTCTGATAAATCTTTGCTTACTTATAGCTGAACTAATCACACTTTACTCTTTTCCTAAAAATCTTGATAATCTCTGTTCAGAATTCATTGAGAAAGGGATATTGTGACGATGGTATATAGTCTTTGTTCATTCATTTGGTAAATATTCATCAAGGGACTTCCATGTGCTAAGCACTGTACTAGGTATTAGTAATACCTAGACATCAGCTCTGCATTCACAGGTGTTACATCATTGGACAAACCCTACTAAATGGAGAGCAAATGTATTCAGTGTGTCTTAATTAATAATTATTTAGTGGTTAAAGAGTGTTGGATTTACACAGCATTGGATTGATAGAGAACATTGTATTTATATAGTAAGTTAAACAACAAAAGGTTTGGAGTGAACAGAATATGATGGTAGAGCTGCTAGCTTGAGGTAAGGGAGTTGGAGTAGAGACTTCTTACTAGAAGTGTAGAATCCTGGCTTCCTTTCAGATCTGACCCTAAATCCATATAGATTTTTAATATTACAGCTGCAGTAGTATACTATAGATTTTTAAAGGACAAAAATAAGGTAATCAAATCATTTTTAATGTCAGAAGAACTTTTAAACTGATACAAAACAATGTCTAGATTCTGAATCAAATAAGTAATGTTTACATGTATATAATTTTGAATTCCATTACAAAATAATTCTAATTTGTAAAGTTCAAACTAATTTATTAAGCTTCAAAAGACAAAGAACAGTGTAATGTATTTTATTTTTGTTTCTGTGTTCCAGTATGTGGCACATAGACCTCTCTGTCTACTCCTTTCCCTCCCCCCCCTCCATCCCTCTTAATTGTCATCTTTTTAAATTTCACTCTCTTTTCTTTTTTACTAGCTCCCATTTCCCAATTTTTTCCCCTTTTATCAGTCTTATTTTCTACTACGGTCTAATTATAAATGTGGATTAGCAATACCTTTTTCAACATTTTCTTATGGAAATTTTCAAACATGTAGAAACATTGACATATTTTACAGAGGATGCCTATATACATGCCACCTGGATTCTACGATTAAAATTTTACTATATTTATTTTATTACATATTTATCCATCCCTCTTTCCATTAGTGAATCCATTTTATTAGTTTGGTACAGGTTAAAATAAGTTTCAAACAATATACTTCATTTCTAAAGACTTAAGCTTGCATATCTTTAATTAAAAGTCTATTTTTTTAGCTTTTTTCCTTTGAGGTAAAACTTACATTCAGTGAAATGCAGAAATATCATGCATACTGATCAGTGAAACCTCACAAAGACATGTACCTGTGCAAACCAAACCAATGTGACCATAGAGACCCATTTAGGCCGTCCTCCCATCCACTACCTTATTCTTGTCATATATAACATACAGTATGTTATATGTTATAATTTTCCTTGAGCAAGCATACACACTTTAAATAAATTTTTTAAAAATACCCTTTAATTCTTACCCAGATTATCATTTCTGATACTCATTCTTTTCTGATGATCCAAGTTTTCTTGCAATATCATTCCTTTCAAAATGAAAAACTGTCTGATTTCTATTTCAGTTCATGTCTGCTGAAAATTATCTTAGTGTTCTTTTATCTGAAAATGTCTGATTTTTTTATGAAGAGTTTTTGGCTGAATATTTCTGAGTTGACATTTTTCCCCTTTAAAGATTATTTCATTATGTTCTGACCTCTTATTTCTGATAAGGAGGCAGTAGTGTTCAAATTGTTTTTGCTATTGTACGATATTATTTTCCTCTGAGTGTTTTATTTCATGCAATATTTTTTAGCTTCATATTGTCTCAGGTTTTTGAGGCTCTATAGATTTTTTTTCCAATCTTTTATTCCTCATGTGGTTTTTTCTCTTTATCTGTATTCCAGTTTACTAATTTTTATATACTTGTTCTCTTTTTAAGCCTCCAATAAACATTTTTCTTTAAATTGCTACACTTTTTAGTTCTATAAATTCCCTTTAGCTTTTATAACTTATAATTGCCTTCAGCTTTTATGACTTCTATCTCGCTGCCAAGATTTCTTATCTTTTTTCATTCATTACAAGCACATTTTCCCTTACATCCTTGAGCATAGTTAGAAAAGCTGCTTTAAAATACTTGTCTGTTTATTCCAATATCCTGGATCATATCAGTGCTAGTATTCTTTGGTTTCCTTTTCTTTTGAGAATGGGTTTACATTTTTCTGTTTCTTATATGCTGAATAACTTAGACTATGTTCTGGACATGGTAAATAAGATGTAATAGAAGCCCTGGGTTCTGATTTGTTTCCCCAGATCCTTCCCCCCGCCCCAAACAAATAGACAGTTAACTTGACTAAACTTCCAGCTGTGAACTGTGGCTCCCCTATAGTTGAAGGCTGGTCAAATTTCAGTTCATTTCTTTAATTAGGCAGCTTTATTTAGAGTCTGTTCTGTGCCTGCATGCTTCAGGGATCAGCCAGAATTGGGGGCAAAGTACATACATAGGATCTGAGACTGTCACTGGTTCTTTCCTTGCCAGGCTTTCCCTCTGCATTTTCCAGCAACAGCCATTACCCCAAACCCTAGCCTGTGGTTCTTCAATCAATAAAACTATAGGTTCCACATGATGCAGAGTAGGACTGCCTTTGGGCTAATTATCAAAATGGGAAGCTCACCCAATGCTGTGTTCTCTGCTACCCAAAATGATATTCTCTGTAGGATCAGCTTGCTTTGGGTTGCTTTCTACTACTTTCAAGTCATTGAATTTTATATTTTGCTCCGAGTTGGTTGTTTTATCTGTTGGAAGGTTGAAAGAGCTATTTGGCTATCACTTAAAGTTAAACCCTCTCTAATTGAATAGTATTCCTTTTATGGTTAATGATTAGGGTTTTATTCCTCATTCGTTTTTAAAATAGGCGGTTAAAAATTTTTAACATGATCCAACTATGAAAACCCTTAATAATAAAAAACACGTACTAAATTAAGCATTCAGTGTTTCTCTGGGTTCTATTATTTTTGAAGGAAGGTTAGTCTTCATCATGGGAAGAATTTTGTATTATATGTAATGTCACATACAGTATGGGGCATAACCATGCTTGGATCTTGCCTACTAGATGCCACTAGTGTCCCCCAATCATCATGATATACACATAATGTTCCTATATATTCAGGTATCTGCTGGGGAACAAATTACCTATAACTGAGAACTGCATCTTCTTTCAGATTTAACAATTATATCTTTCTAAAACACAAATCATCTTGATGACACTTCAAAGTCCCCTTTTGCCCTGAAAAACTAAGTGTAACCTCCTTAGCATGGCATTTAAGACTTCACAATCAGGCCTCAGCTTATCTTTAAAGCTTCATCTCTAATAACATTCCTCAACTATGGTTTGATCTTCCTTTGCCTTTTATTATAAGCTCTCTTTCTCTGATACATTTTTCTTACCTGTGTATATATTGTTCCTCTGCTAATCATCTGAGAGTCACCTCAAATGTAATTTCTTTATCAAAGCTCTCAAACTGTTTTACACACCACTAATGTTAATTGCTTCTTCTTCTGTAAACTGTGGTGCTTTGTACATATCTTTATTATAGTAGTTATACTATTATTTTCTACATGTCCAACTTTTTCATCAAACATGATCTTAAGATTAGACTGCTCCCAACCACTCAGGTTCTATTTCAAGATCTGAATTAAAAAAGTGGCAGAGGATGTTAGAGAGAAGTAATAAATTTGGAAATTGATAGGAGTGGTGATTTTAGAAAAAGATTTGTAATCTGACTGCCTGGTTGTTCTGTTATGAATGGTAGCTCCTAGGAGAAGCAACAGGTGGAGTAAAATGGAAAAGATTATCCCAATTTTTGCATATTTTGAACTTCAAAGAATGAATAGAGCTTTCAATGCAGCCAGAAATAGGACTAGGGTTAAAAGTTAATAGAGCTGGATATTTAAGTTGGAGTCCACATTACTATTTAAAGCATATTAAGTGACACATGGAAAAGATAACGTCTCGAAGTATGGAGTATAAAAAGAAATAATTGGGAAATATATTATTTTAGGTTTGGGTAGAGAAAGAAAAAAGGAGTCAGAAAAGAGGGTTCATCAAAGCACTAGAGAAGAACAGTATCGCAATGACTAAAGAAAGAAATTGTCAAGAAGGGAGCTGATCTTTACTTTTACTGCAGCCCAAGGAAGTTTTTTCCCATCTATACTCAGCCTTCTTGAGTCTACCTTGCCACCTGGGACTAAATTCTTTAAGGCTAGAAAATCATCGTACTGCTAATGGCTTTTATATGGTTCTTGGGCAAATATTCCCTTACCTGATGTGTAATCTGAGCTCTGCCGAAACCCACAAAAGTGCTTAGGCCTGTCTACACCTTCCTTCCCCAATAAGGGTTGTGTTGTTTCAAGCCCAGAATGCACCATGCCAATTGGGTACTTCTAGTGAATACTTCCCACACAGTCACTGGTTATGTTTTCTAAGATACAGATCATATTTTGAAAGAGAAAAGGAGAGAAAGGGAAAGGAATGAAGGAGAAAGGGGAAGGAAAGGGTGAAAAAAAAAGGGAAAGAAAAGAATACAGAAGGAAAGAAAATGAGAAAAGGAGGAGAGGGCAGAGAAGAAAAATAGAAACAATCCTTGAATCTTTTAGAGCCTCGTCCAAATTTGTCATCAGGATTTTTCCGGAGTTTATTCTGGTGAAATTAACACTCTAATCATAATGAATGCTGTATTTTCACCCTGTTTGGGAAACTGTTAAATCCTCCTTCATATTTTACCTGTTGAAATGCTATTTGTCCTTCAATGTTCCCAGATTCTGTTCCCTCCAGGACAGCTTTCTCAGTTTTCGCAGATGGAAATTTAATTCTTATGTCTTATTCAGTTCCTAACATAGACATTTCCCCAGAGTAGTTTCTTGATTTATTTTAGCTCTGGTTCAGTTCCTGTATAAGCATATAGAAAGATGGTTTTACTAGTTCCATTTTTCTAACATATTCAGATTTTTCAGGTGTACACAATTTATAAGTCATTAACTTTAAAAATTTTTTTAAGACTGATTCAACCTGTATGTTATCCTAAACATAAATTTATCTCTCTAGTACCTCCAATTTTAAATATCTGGATAAATCACTGTTTCTTTAAGATTGTCTCCCTTGTTTAACTTCAAGAATTGAAGTCTTTGATCTTGTTAGTTTTCGTAATTATTCTTTCCAATTTTTGGCAATATTATGAATATCAATGAATACAAAGCTAATGAAAGTTGACTCGCTCAGTTGTAATATTTAAAATAACCTATTTATTCTAATTGGAGCTTGTTTTTCACTGCCTAAAGTGGTTTTTTTGCTTAAATATCCTTATTAATACAACTACCTACAGTTTCTTTTCAAGCATTCATAAATAAATTGAGCCTCTTTTAGGGAGCCATCTTAAGAAAATAATAAAAATAGGGAAAAGGGAGTGTGTATGCCCTTGATCACATTCTTATATTTTTAAAGGAAAAAAATAGATGGAAACACCTGGAATCCCCAAATTGGGGGCAGTTGTAAGAAATAACATATATTTGACTATATACCCAACACTATATTAGGGACTGATCAGGTAGACCAAAATACATTCTCATGATGTATTACTATGAAGCCATGATGTCTCTGAATAATATGAAAAACCACTTGTAAATATTAAAAGATATGAAATTATATGTGTATATTCATGTGTACATACACACATTACAATAACCTTATAAAGTAAGGCAAAATCATGAATGGAACGAATAAAATATACCAAAATATAATGGATTTTTTTTTTCTTATTTCCTCTTTAAAATCCTACTAAGGGTAATATGTATATGTATGAGAGAGAGAAAGCGCACACGAGAGCAAGCACATATACACGTGTATGTGCATGTGTGTATATATACGTGTGTGTGTGTGTGTGTGTGTATTGAACTCAGGGTCATGTTACCACTGAGCTCTATTGCCAATGCTTTTCATATTTTTTTCTTTTGAGATAATGTCTAGCTAAGTTACCAAGGCTGGCCTCAAATTTATAATCCTCCAGGCTCAGCCTCCTAAGTTGCTAAGAATTATAGGCATGCACCACCATGCCTGGCAGGGTCATTAGATAGAACAAAATAAATTCATTGACCTATGAAGAAAATAAAGATAAATAATCTTTATAATTTGCATGGTGTAGTTTCCTCTCAGAATGTCTCCATGACTTTTTATTCAAAATATATTTTATCTTTAAAAGACACTTGGTTGATCTGTTAAATCATACCTGGACAAATGTTTTGTTTTCAAGCTTAGAAAAGTGGATTGTTTTGTTTTATTTTTGTCTAACTAAATTAAAGACCAAGATGAGAAACATACCAAATTTTTCTGAGGAAATTTTCATTTGTTGAAAAAAAAAGAAGAAGGAAAGAAAAGGCTTTCTTCTTTGCATGGTGGGACAGGAAGGTTGGATTTAATTTAAAATGATTAATGAGATTTTGTCAGGCTCCTTGACTTTACCACCACTGCAGTTTGTCAGTGCAACAACCTGGGAAGCCCGGACGCCACTCTGTCGCCCAAAACCACTCTCCAGGGAAAAAATTAACTGGAAGGACTAGTGCCAGGTACACGTCAATGGCATTGTCTTTCTGGTATTGACAGTTTAAAAGTCTAAATCAGAAATATGTATGTTTGGGGACACACATACCTAAGATATTGTTTTCAGCCTCTTTGCAAGTAGTTAGTCACTTTTTAAATTTTTAAGTTGTTGACATTTTGAGAGTACTTGAGACAAAAATCTTGGACAACCTCTAATTTATTTTAAAAATTAAACAAACAAGGAATTTTAGAATCTCAGGTTACTTTGTTGTTTTGTTTTTCATTTAAAGAAATGAAGCACTTGAAATGTAAAATAATTTTCAGTTTTGAAAACACTTTAAAAATATATACCTAATTGTAGTCAAGTTTTAAAATTAAGCTATAAAATTGCAATCTGACTTAATACACCCTTTCTTACTTCCTCATGTGTTATGTTTGAAAATAATGACATTATTACCTAAAACCAAATTTCTGAATATGACTAGTTATTAGGTAATAAATGTAATATAAATTTTTGCCCCAGTATTGGTATTATATTCAATACTGGACAATCATTATATTTGATATTTGTATTAACCAAGTATTTTAATTAACCAAGACTAATTAAACAAATTAGACACCAAATACCAATTATCAATACCAAATACAATATCAATACTGAGTTACAACAACATTGTGCAAATTGTTACTTGCATTTGTACCAATTAGCAATAGCAACACAATATCAATATTTATCATTTTATTCAAATAGCTATCCAAAAGAGTTGAGGCATGTGAAACTTCTTCCAACAAAAGCAGAATAGAAAATATCTTGAGGATCTGAAAGATATTCGAGGGCTAATTTTACAGAAAACTGGTAATGTACATTTGTCAGGTTTTATCAAAATGAAAAATGAATAAAGAGTGCCTTCCTGTTGAACAATTTCAAAGTAGTTTTCTGAGTTGAGCGTACATCCCCCAAGGAAAGAGACCTTCAGCCAGAACCAGACTTCCAGTGAATATCCAGTGGAATGGCCTAGAAAATTTCATTAAGGCTGCTGGTTTTATTGATAGAACCCTAACAAGAGCAAAATAGAATAGTGTGTATGTAGACCAGTATATTTGTCATCTATCATATGGCCCACAGTCAGTTTCTCAGGAAGCAAATATCACTTTCAGCCTTGAAGCCATGAAATAGTTTATTGCATTTCTAAAATTCTCAAAAATCATATTATTCTATTTTCAATGTATGTAAATTTTAGTAGCAATTGCAATTTAGTTGCTGCATTGCATACTTAATATCTAAAAATGGACTTCAAAATATTTGTGTGTTTGCATAAATGTATGTGTGCATGTGTTTAGTACTGGGGATTGAACCCAAAAACAGTCTCTGAGCTACATCCCCAGCCCTTTTAAAATTTTATTTTGATACAGAGTCTCACTAAATTACCAAAGCTGGCCTCCAACTTTCCATCCTTTTGCCTCAGTCTCCTGAGTTGCTAGATGTTATCACCATAGCTGGCTTTGACTGCAAAATCTAATGTAGGTAATAGTGTTTACACAGGGATTCACAATTATTCATTTCACTTCTCTTTGGAGATTTTTACTGTTACTGCAGAAATTGAAAAATAAATATATATTTATTTTCCCTTCCCTTAGTTGATTGTGGAGTTAGGAAAATATTTAGAAGTTTCCAGAATGCCCCATCCCAAAACGACTATGGCCATAGTCAATAATAAACCAGAAAAATAAAAATATCCTTGAATGGGACTAAGCTCATATTGGATTAGGTGAAATCCGATGCCTTGTAACAGCTGTCCCCTTGGGGGCATTTATTACCTTGATGAATTTGTGTTGATGCTGGGTCTGGTTCTTGGTTTCAGAAATCTGGTTTTGTCAACTCATCTTAAGCAAATGTATTTTTCATGACATTGATTTTAAATCCAGTACAGAAGGAAATGTTACAGTGATAACCTACTGATCAGTACCCTCTTTATTTACCAGCTTACTGTAGAAAATTGATTGGCAAACATGGAATTAAAGCAAGAGGAGTTACTTGAATCAAATGCTTTGTGCTTTGTGTCAGACTGCAATGGCCAGATGCATTTCTCAGTAGAGGTGATTTTGCACATTTAAAATTGGATAGCCGAAATCACTTTCTACTAGATACTGCCAACATTTGCTTCCATTTTTCAATATTTTATTTTATTCACTACTGGGTATCAAACCCAGGGCCTCAGGCATGATAGGCAAGCATTCTGCCTCTATACTACATACCCAGCCCACAATCCATATTTCTTTTTCTTTTACACTGGTGAGTGGAACAGTGTCTTGTCCTTCCCCTCACCAGTTTTCTTTTTCTTTGACTCAGAATATTTCTAATACTTCCACTAATCACATTAATTTTTTTTTTTTTTGGTACCAGGGATTGAATTCAGGGGCACTTAACCACTGAGTCACATCCCCAGATTCTGTCTCACTGAATTGTTTAGAGCCTTGCTAGGTTGCTGAGGCTGGCGTTGAACTCTCGATCCTCCTGCCTCAGCCTTCTGAGCCACTGGGATTACAGGTGTGCACCACCAAGCCCAGCTAATCACATCAATTTAATACAAACAATATAGCCAACCACATTGTATTCAAGGCCTAAAGTTATTCTTATGCATTTTGTGCTTTTTTTTCAGTGTCGGAAAAAAATCTCATTTCTCACATACCAAAGTTCTACTGCACATATAATCAAGGTCACTGTAGCACCCAATACCTATTACATGGCAATACATTTAAGACATTATTTTACATAACAGTGAAGTTATAATTTAAACATTCAAATAAATATTTAAAGACGGCCCATGTGCAGTGAAAGAGACAAAAAGGAAGAAAACTGCCCCCATTGTCAAGGGCTTTTATGGGAGGAAGTCAAACATAGCCACATTCAGTCCTAAAATACTTTGTGTATGTCCATAATAATTTTGCAGAGTTCTGTAGGATTTAGGTGATTTCTGGAGAATCATATGACCATTTGTAGGGATCAAGAAAGACACTGACTCCAAAGTACTTTGTGTATGTTACTAACTTAAGTAAAGCAGAAGAAAATGTGTTATTTTAATAGGTGTGTTACTAGAGAAGAGATAACTAAAGGCACAGATACAAATGTGGATGGGAGTCATGGAGTAGTGAATTACCTTTGGGAGCTGGAGGGTAAGGTGTGAACAGCAGTTTAGTGAAAGGAAAGACTGGAAAATACAAGTTGGAGAAAGAGTAAGCCATAATAGAAAGTTGACACTTTAATTTTGTAGACAACTGGGGATTTTTCAGATGTGTCATTTCTGGTCTGTTTTAAGATCTTTCTAATGCTGATAAAAAATGTAAAGTAGAAATGTAGTCTGAGGAAATCAATGAAGATTGGTAGTTATACACTTTTAATTATGCAAGCAAAATTTGAAGGAAATCTGAACTCCAGCACTGTTATTGGAGTGGAAAGGATAGACGAAAGATTTAAGAGACACTTTCAAAAGTAAACCATCTTGGTGCCCTATTGACTGTTGGACATAAAGAAGAAGGTGTTAAGAATTATTGCAGGGCTACTGAGGATATAGCTCAGTGGTAGATTGCTTGCCTCCATGCTCAAGACCCTGGGTTCAACCCCCAGCACCAAAAACAAACAAAACAACAGCAACAAAAAACATTACTCCAAATAATGCTGCCATCCTAGAAGAAACACAGTTGAAGGCCAAGTTTGCTTGTGTTGGGAGGAAGGTGGTGATGAGAGGATGTAGGTAAGAAAATGGCCAATCAGTTAATGTACATACAGGTGAAAGTATTCAGCAACTAGTTTGTAAATGTAATTAGTACTCAGGCGAGGGATAATGGCTGGTATAATATTTTGAGAGAGTCCTCAACATAAAAACAATAGAATAAATCACAGAAAGAGATGCATATTGATATCATCATAAGCACTTAGCACTGTGCATGGCAAACAGTAGGGTCTAAATAAGTATTTGTAGAATGGGCAAATTGATTTTGACAAGTGTTCTCAAAACAAACAACCCAAAATATCCAAGTACTTTAATAACATACCTTGAGAATAAACAAATGCTGCTGTGTCTCAAGTTAAAGAATCTTTCACAATTAATATTTTGAACTAAATAACCAACTTGTTCAGAAAAGTTTCCTCTAGCCAGTCCAAGTCCTTGCCAGGGCATGAGGTGTTCTACTTACTCTTTTACTG